CCAACAATAGCAGTCTCTTCTGTCAGGTGGATGGGATTAAGTGAATGGTAGTCATGAAATATTTTCTTTGTCCACCTTCACTGTTCTGTGTGTTAACGATTCAGGCTTGGCCTAGAGTCTGTTTTGGCCCCTCCCAGGAGGCTCACCACAGCATTAAAATATCACAAACCTTTACTTGCATTTCCATGCCACATTTGGTAAAGTTAGAAAGAGTTAAGAGTCAGTAGGACTGAAAGAAAAACAGCAAAATATTCAAATATCCACTGGTTTTGCGTACTGAACTAGATGGTCCTGAGGCCTCCTCCTTCAGACTGTTTACCATACTTGCAGCTTTTTGTAGTTCACAGTGCAGTTGCCCCCAACTTAATCACATATTTCACTGACCCAAGTACCATTTGTTTTAAATTACGTAAATTCTAGTTTGTGACGCTTAGTAACAGCCAGAAGCTCAGAGGCAAAGTTTTGGTGACTTAAACCTTACCACTGAAACAGTTTAAGAGCTTAAGGCCTTAATACTTACTAAACAGTTTTCATCCTTATTTAATGCCTACTAAGTCACATGTGTCTGAGTCATCAGCTAGGTTGAAGCCATTAAACTCACCACAGAAACTTTGCCACCTAGCATTCAGTTCCTGATGTGATTAGTAGTAAGTTACCATCTTTGTCGCCCAGTTTCTGGCAATAGGAGAGAGAACCTTTGTTACTTGGTGTCATAATGTGAGAACTGAATTCTGTTCCAGGTTGAAGGTTCAGGTTTTACAGAGAACTGTTCTCTACTGGAAGACAATTCTGTTCCTGTACAGCCACTCACCTTTCTATCCCCTTTCCCAAGCCTCTCTGTGTTTCACTTCTGCTTTCTACTACTTTGTATTCCACTGAGGTCTTTCTTCTAGCACCTGGATGCTGACTGAAGGACAGGAGAAGTGCACTATCTTTGCGCTCATTTCTTGTATCCATTTTTACCCTCTTCTTCAGCTGCTGGCAAGCAACGATAAAAAAAAATTAAAAAGCTGTATTCAGTTCTTGGGCAGTTCAAAACCTACTTAATGGAAACAGGGTTTTGGATAACCTTGCTGCCAGCATTTAGCAGTTCATTAAGCATATGTGAATGATGCTTTTTAGAGGCATATAATTTCACTAGACTTGGGTGAGTATTTGTAAAAATAGCAAAAAACCCCCAACAAATTTAAAAAAAAAAAAAAAAAACCACCACCACATCCCATCCAGCACATACCATCTGACTTCAGAACAGCAACATGTCTCACAGTACTGAAATCCAGGTTCCAACTCCAGAGAGTGAATGAGCTACGCTTTCTCAGCAAGGTGATCAAAATGTTATTTTAAAGTGAACAAAATAATATGCATTTTCTTAAGCTGAGGTGGCTAACTCTACAAAAACTTTAAACTTGAGGCAGATACTGGGAGCAGGAAACTTCTTATCAGAAGGAAGGGTTAAAGCTTGACAGTTTGTGAGCAACTTTACAAGGATTTAAAATGGAAAGTGCTAGGCAATGTACGTATCAAGGCATAAATATTCTGTGTGTGACATAAGCTGTTAAAATGCTTCATATTGTTAAATAACATCTTCAACAAAGGCAGGGTCTGCTTGAAATGTCATGTAATTTAGATTTTTTGAAAAGACCTATCTGTTCATTGAGAAAATAGCTTTGTTTGCTTCAGAGGAGAAAAAATACAACATGTAGATGAAAAATCTGTCACTTGTTAGAAGCATTGTTTTGGTCTTGTGCTTTTTAGTATTATTACCTTTATTCAGGCAGAAGTGTAAGAAAGTATTTTTCAAATCTCAGATTTGTTTTGGGTTTTTTTTATTGTTTTGTGTGTGTGTGTTGGGTGGGGGTTTTTTGTGTTTTGTTTTTTTTTTTTTTTTTAAGAAAGTACATTTAGTGTATGTATTTCATATATTTATATCCAGTCAGATTCTCCTCTGACAATTCCCTTTAATGTTTTTCTCCAGTTGTTACTGAAAGTACTTGTTCTCAGGGAAGTATAAAGGAAAAAACACTGAAGATCCTATTTATCTCCTAGTTTGTAAATTGAATATAGCAAATATGAGGATGATTATTCTTATTTCTGAATGCTCATCCAGAACTGATGTAGTTCTGAAAGTCTCCTTGATGTTTAGCAACTATGGAAGGAATCCATTTTTGTCAAACTTCAATAAGATTGCTGTTGAGCTCTAAGCCAAGAGCATATCATAGTGCAGTCATTCCCAGAGTGGGACTTACCAAAGAAATGAAGTATTGGCAGGAGGGAGGGGAAAAATGGAACTGCTAGAGTAATGTTAAGATGTATCACTACAAAAATGCACTTTTAACTTTTAAAAAAAAATACTAAAATGGAAGAAAAATCCTTATTTTGATACAAGCAGCTTTGGTAAAAGCTGTAACCTCATAATTCATGTGCAACCTGTACAGAAGTTGGAGAAAATAGTCAGGCATAGCTTTGTGTTCCTCAGTTGTCTTTCAGTCTGCCTGCAGAACAGTTGCTTGGTAGAGTGATACTTTTTTTTCTTGCCTATATATCCTGATTTCAGAAAAAATGCTGAAATCGGTGGTGGGGAGAAGGTGATCAGCACTAAATAACTTGTTTAACTTTTGCATACAGATGGACAGACATCTTCAGAAAATAGCCCACAAACAGAACCAAGTGGAAATGGGATGAAAGATCATTCTAATCTTAGTGTAAGTATCTAAACAGAAACTTGATTTAAAACGTGTTGATTTTCTGCAAAATATTTAGGAAAATTTGTCTCTAGTAGATTGGTCATAAGTTGCACTCTGCGGTCCAAATGATAAAATTGTATTTATACTTGTATCACAGCAAGTGATACAAGTCTTGTGAATTAATTTTGATGTGTGTCTAACACAACCCCTGCTGAAAATTAATTGTAACCCAAAAGATGAAACTATGGTCAAGCTGATGGTCAGTGAGCAGAGATAGCCTTGCTCAGGGTTATGCCATAGCTAAGGCAGTTGGAACTAGCTGTTATCTAGTGTGACAGGCTACATCAAAGTGGGCCTGATGGGATTGGAGATGTTCGCTCTTCTTATCCCTTTTCCTAAGCTAACTTCCCTGTTTTCATTGTGTTGCAGAATTCACTACCTGATCAGTCACTGGCATCTGAAAGTGAAGCCGTCAGTTCAGGATTTGCTCCTCCACCTTTCCCTCCAGTCAGACCTCCGTTGATGCCTGTGGATCCTAGAGCACCTTTCATGAGACGAGGACCTACTTTTCCTCCCCCTCCACCTGCTGGCATGTATGGACCACATGAATGTTTTCCAGTACGAGACTTTGGGCTTCCGCGCCCTCCGCTGCCAAGTACGTAGCTTTTGCCAGCATTTACTTCAAGTTGATGAACGTGAGTGCTTTGTGCAGGTAGTGAGTTACCACACTGGGTGAACACTTGAATCTTTATTTGCATGTACTACTTCTCAATTCAACTAACCGGGAGCATCTTTTCTGATGAAGGTTAATTGCGCTGTACGCTTTCTTCTTCACAGTTGCTCATACTGATAATGTTTTTACAAATACTAGCTTTGGCTGGAAAATACACATACACACACACACACACACACACACACACACAGTTCAGCATTTAAAGAGTTCTTTTTTGGGTAGGAAAGCAAGTAGGTGCTTACCTTAATCCTGTTCCTCCTATGAGGTTGCATTATACATAAATCTTAAAGTTTCATCCTTTAGCTTTGAGGTATGTTAGTGTCCATACAGAGGCATGAATTTAGGACGTACTTGTTAATTGGTTTTCCTTGGAGTTTGCATGCGTTAGTGGAGCAAGATGTAAGTATCAGACTGAAGGGCTTCTTTCTGCCTCCTGCTGTTCTCTGATTAACCTGTGAAGAACTAAACAGTTACTTTGCAAAGTATCTGTAAGGTGTGACAGCCAAGGGCTGCTACAGACCAAAGGTGATGGTGGCAGCAGCAGCCCATGAACAGATGCAGACTGGCTGCTGCTGTGAGCCTGTCGCAGGTAACTACTGAGAAGAGTGATCGTTTTGTCCTCCCCCTTCCTAGCATCTTTGGATGCGTAACACCTACCCTAGGTGTACTCTGTGACTTCTATTTAGGTAGGCCATTGCTGAGCAATAAGATACGCGGGGTAGGAGGAGCAAGTCTGTGTTTGCTGTTGTGATTGATGTTAACTGGACTACTCTGATTCTCTCACAGTAAGAAATCCATTTCCAATGAGATCTTATCCTCACTATCCACCTCAACGACCTGGATTTTTGCCTCCACCACCACCTCCTGAAAATAGAGTTGAGCCACCCCAACAGCCAAATCCATCACCTGTAGAACAGCCAGAACCACAGCAAGAGACTTGACAGTCGTTTGAGCAATGTGCTGAACCATTTCTGTACTCTTCTAATGGCATTTTACAGCATTTTTCCTTATGTTAAGTAACCATTGTTACTTAGATATATACAAACTACTTTGCTCAAATTGAAGCTTAATAGAAAATTCTCAGGATGGTATTTTGTAAATAAAGAATGAAATAACTGAATATTGTGAATAAGTGATTTCCATTGTACAATAGTCATTTTAAATTAAGTATTTCTAACTTGAGTAATCTCTTCAGAGGTGTATAAAATTAAATCATGTGAACCATATTTTAAAAGTCCAGCTGCTTTGTCCTTGTTTAGCTGTACAGGGAATATCTCTGCATGCCAAAAGTGATGCTTGCTGCTTTATGAATAGAATGTGAAAACAAATTGAAACAGTTAATAAAAGTTTACTGAAAATGAAGGCAGTCACTGTTAACTTGGTACTATAGAAGTCATTGAAGTAAAGAGGAATTAATGCATACGTACTCTGTTAATGACCTCGTAGGTAATCTTTCAGCTGTCAAAGCTTTACAAAGTGGCAGTTGTCCTACAGTACAGTGGGAGGGAAGGGGAAGCAGAAATGCAGAGCAACTCTCCCACCACTCTTCAAAACCGATAGTGTGGGGTTGTGTTTTATTGAAGATGTGTATGTAGTTTTTCTATGACATGGAAGGAAGGAGTCATAGCTATGTGACGCTTCAGCATCACCAGACCCTTAGCTTTGTAGATGTATGTCTGCAGCAAACTAATACTAGGTTTTTTTACTGTCTCGACATGAATTCAGTTTTTTAGTCTTCAGATTTTAACACTGGCATTTGGGAAGCTGGGTGGGACAAAAAACCTACTTCCCAATTCCTTCAACTCTAACTTTGGAGAGCACTCAGGATTTATCAACAAAATGGCCACATAGGATGGGGCAGGAGATTTCTGTAAGCATGCTCATCCTAACACATAGTACAGGTAATTAAAACTGCAAGGCAAGGTGGAATTTCTTTCTTGTCTAGAAAAAGCACAGAAGCAAGTATACCCAATACACTTAGCAAAAAAAGCAACAAAGTGGTCAAGAACATGCAGCTGCAGCAAACATTTAAAAAACCCAAACACATGATTTTAGACATTAATTGTGTCCATGCACATTTTGTAGTGATTGCTAGGCTTCACAAAAAAGCAGAATTAAAAAATACAAGAACCAGCAAACCACAGCATTAATTTTGTGGCTATGAAAGCATTTGGTGTGTTGTCTCGTTCACCTCTTCACGTGAGGTTACTATTTGCTTCTTCCCTTGTGGTAATGGCCACCACAACAGGCACAGTGCACTTACCTCAGCCAGGGCGCAGGCGTGTTGGTGCCAGGCTGGATCTGGGCAGAGCCCAGCTCCATTTTTACTTTAAAGAGTTCTGATAGAAACTGTTGGCTCTTCTGTCAGTTTAGCTTCCACTTGAAAACTATGTAATTACTCACACTGCAGTCATTTGGTACGGGACCCTTTAAGAGAAATAAAGAAGGAAACTTTTTAGCAAGCCCCCACATGCAGCAGCAGCAGTAGTGGGCAGTTCAACTGCCTTTCCCCCCATTCTCTACGCGCACACACACACACAGTTTCAGCCTTTAGTATAAATGCAGGCACCACACCCCATAATTACAAGTTACAAAAAAAAATCTCCAGCCCACATTTTTTGTAATTGCTTAGGTCAAGTCTGCCAAGGGAGCTTTTTCTTTTGCAGCTCAATACTCCTGCTCCTACCATTATTTCCACATAGGCTTATTTGAGCTGCAGAACTCTTCCATGGCTCATTCCTGCGATTTCTTTATTCTCCTTTCTACCTCTAGTTTAGTCCTCAGAGGCCTTTCGATAAGCCTTTGATTTGAGCTATTCAACGACAAATTCAACAAGAGACATTTTAAAGCATCATCCATGTTAAGTTGTTCTAACTGCTATTTAGCTTAATTCAGCTATTGCATCATTTTTAGCTAATTAGTTGCTTTCTTAAAGGCTCTAAGTTTACCTGAAAGACTTCACCAGGATCCTAAAAGCAACTGTTCGGTTTTACCCTTGCCCTTGTATCAGTCCTGGGAACAACCAGAACTGCCAACTATCGACTTGCCCCTGCACACAGAACCAGTGGATAGCATGGAGGTCCTTAGTCCGATAATACTGCCACCATAAGAACTCTTTTTTTTTTTTCCAACTCACCTGAAGGATTGTGAACTACTTATGAATGTAACTAGATTTTCTGAACAAACACAGTATTTCCTCTGTGTGGGTTAAGTATTTGTTCTAGCTTGTAACTAAGTTAACTGTCTGCAAAAACCAATTCTTCCTCCACCAAAACAATCTACTCTATGCCCACAATGATACTGGAAGCTGCAGGCAAAACAAAAGTTAGCTGGACTAAGATAATGCAGGACAAGCATGGATTAGATCATCCTACAGAGAGAATGGAATGATTTCAGGCAATTTTTTTTCCCCATTAATAGCCCAAAATTTTATTTGCAGACAAGCAATTTAAAAACAAACTCAGATTTATGCAATAGGAAGCAGGGTATAGTAACCCGACAGCGGTATTTAGAAATGTTTAACTGAGAAGGGTCACACAAGTGCTTATGTGGGGAAGTCCCTGTTCCCCTCCAAAAGAAAAAGCAATACAGTTTTAACAATTGAGGGCTTGTGTTCCAAGTTTCTGCTGCTAAATCTAGAGTGCAGCCAGCCTAACTTGACATCCCTGTCTCTTTAGGAAAAACAAAGAGAAACAAACAAACAAAATTAAAATCCCATTTGGAATTACGCAAGCTCAAAGTAATGTCACAGAGCTTGTCAGGCCCCACTCCCAATACAAGTGCACTTTCCACATTAGGACCATCTTAGTTTCCTAACACCCGATTTCAAACTGCTTCAGCTTGTGTCCCTTCATCCTGGTATCACTAATTCAGATGATCGCTAAAAATACAAATGAACAACAAAACCAACTTTTATTTATTTGTAAGACAACAGAACAATCAGAGGTGTATTTCTCCAGCACTGCTCAAGGTATGGGTTTCACCACACACTCGTGCCTTACCAGACTCCCTATACTTGTAAAGTAAGAAAGATTATAGCAGCCTATGTATTAAGTACATTGACTTCACACCTGGAACACAAGCCATACCCAGGGATTAGACTTCAGACTGTATGGAAAATCAGATCTGGAGCACTAACAACAGACATCATGGATAGAGCCCACTTCAAATGCTGGGGCCATAACTGCAGTAAGTGAAAGGACCACACATCTCTCTACCATAGTTAAGTAAGTGGCCTGTTTCTCCTGCTCCTTATCTTACCTTTCAAGATTAAGTTAATTAAAAACAAAGCAGAAAATAGGTTGGACTAAAAAGAGAAACTCATTTATGTAACAGAAAGGTAAACAATTACTTCCCAACTGCATTAAGTAAGGCAGTTATCCATAAAAACACAGTAGTCTGCAGGGATAAAATTAACATCCTGCAACTCTGTTTAAACCAGAGCATGCAGCATTTTCTTCAGAAAGTTGCACGGAAAAAGCCAGAAATCTTGATCACTTTAAGACCAAATTTAAGGTCCAGATGATGCTGAACAATCATTATCAGATTTAACTGCTACATAAATCTCCCTCCTGAGGCCAAGTCCTGAAAGGCATTGAGACCAAGTCCCATTATTTCACTTTACTGGAATATGAAAAGCTGTAAGTGTATTTACCTTATTTTTATCACCCACAGCATCTCTTCAGTAACTTGGTAAATGATCTTGCATACCAAATCTAGAAGATGTACGAGACTGCTTAAACGACAAGCAGTGCAATTCTCACGCTTGGTAGCAGTTTGGACTATCACAAAATGAAGTTCAGAAGCTCAAATGAAATCCGTGCTTGGCACGCACACACGGAACAGCCACTCCCACAATTCTCACAGCACGATCAGCCATTGCAGGGCATGGCACCTCTTCGACAGCTTACCAGACATTTACAGTTTTCATTCAGAATGCACAGCTACGTACTCTTGACTATGGATAAAATGTCAAACTGAAGCATTGCAGGTATTCATAATCTATTTAATAGTGGGACACCAAAGAAGTACTATACATTTTTCTTGAGCACATTAGATTTTGATTTAAGCAATTGCAATGGATGCAGGAATTTCTCAAAAATAGTCTTCTATATTCTACAATCCACAGTTTACTGTATCAGTCTAATAAGTCATATCATGATATACTGTTTGTGCTAACTGGTCGGATAGTCTGATCTTTAGCAAAGCATCCTCCCCCTTCCTCCACCCCCCCAAAAATGTTGACAAAATTCAGCCAAATAAAAAAAAAAAATTACTCTACAACTTATTTTAGACTCTTTTGTTGACCTAAACACAATGGGAGCTACCAGTTATACACAGCTTAGGAACGATGTTGCGTTTTAATTCTAAAAATCTTCATGCTGATACAATAAAATATTTTATACAGCGATCAATTTTTAATGCTTTATTCATTGATTAAAAGAATATACATTTAACATAAACCATACAACATCAGTCATCAATTCAAACATTCAGCTGGTTTCCTTACATTTTCTGTCAGGAGTTTTTTTTTTTTTAATCTGATCACATTTATAAGATAAAATCTCACCACATCTGGCATATACACACACTGTGCCAGTGGATTCACTCTACTGATGTACATATAAAATCCGCATGGTATGTGCTCACTGGAGACAAAACAGCGCACACCTGTCAAAAGGTCATTTTAATATAAGATGGTAAAACCATTTGTAAAACACATATAAACTTTTTCCATAAATAGAATCATATCTGGACATCTGTTGCATAAATTGTGTTTTCCAAAGCTTACAATATAGCAGCCAGGTCTCAGCACTGCTGGGCACCCACGTTGGCCACTTACTTTATTATTGCAGACTGTCCTTTAAACATTAAATGCACAACATTCGTACCACTTAAAACTGGGGTCAGGTGGAAGTCTCACAGAGACCACGTCTGTACCGCGGTTGCCCTGAAACAGTTAAATCGGCTTTTAAAGCCTCTCAGATATAACAAGATTTTAAAACATACTTCATGGAATGTTCTTCATGCATCATAGCAGCTCATACCTGTGATAGAACAAGCTTTGTATTTGTTTCCTTTCCTTCCTTTACATTCACTATTCACAGTGAAACA